AAAAAAAAAACAACTAGCGAGTAAACGAGTATTTCGAGCTACAAAGTATAAATAATTGGAGGACTAACTATATGGCCTTTCATCCGAAACGTCACTGAGTAAATCGTACTTTTTCAGGTCACCATGTCTAAGTTAGTGATTCTTTGCATCGAGTCAAAACAAGTGTTTTACACCGATAATAGGATGTCAGTATCTCCAAGTATTCTATACACAAGGGCCGGACAGGATAACTATAAGTCGTTAAATATTGGGGTAATAGCGACTTAATAACTATTTAATAAGCTGGAATGATAATAAAATCTTTGTCGGTCAGGTTTCTTCAAAATTATTAGTTCAAGCTAAATGGTCAGTTTTTAAAAGTATTACGAAGATAGCGGTATAGAAGGTAGGAAGGTATTGGAAATCAAATCACAGCACTTGCTAGAATGACCCTATATATCTTGGAATCCTTACCTCTGTGTATCTGTCTGTCTGTCCGTAAAGTTTCCCCCTTGTTCAATTTAAATTAAAATTTACTTTAAAATTCTTCAACAGAACAGTCGATGTTTTAAAACCCCATGTGCACAATACTTATACGAGTAAATCAATTGAAGTCTCTTTATTCAGACTAGCAACAATAGAAAACCTGTTAAGTGCGGTGCTATAGTTTTCTCAGCTGTCCTTCTTAGTGATCAAATAAACCATTGCTCTGATTGGGTAATTTTAGGCCACTTTACACATGGCAGGCAAATGGCCTGTTCGTATTTGTTCTACACTAAGACAATAAGCAAAAAATCTTCATTCCTTCACTGATTTGATATTTTAAAAATATTTGATTTAGACTTCCATTTTGGCCATCTATCGACTTTCTAAATACGCTAATTATTTTCAATAATGATTTTTTTTTAAACTGTAGCAATTTATATTCCAAGCATATGTACTTCAACTAGGTCCCTAAATTCCTAAGTACTTAAAATACCTTGTTTAGAAATACTTTACATGTGAAAGATAGACAAGCCAGTCACGTAGACATCAAGAATGACGTTCGACGAAAATCAACCTACCTGCGCCGGTTTCCTGAACCTTTAATTCTTTTCAAGATTACTTCAGCCAAAAACAAATAAGAGCACGAAAAACTTAGGAAAGGTTTATTTAACCATAGATATGGGGTATTAATTACAAGCCAATGTTTGCAAAACTTAATTGGATTGGAGGAAATATTTCTTAATGATCGTCAATCTGAATTTTATTTAAATTTTAGTTAACTAAAAACTAAAATCTGATAATACGGTAAAGTCTACTTTTCTTCGAGTGTTTTTTAAATACAATTGTAAAGGAGTAGTGATGATAATTAATTATTCATCTTAACATCTCGAAAGAAAGGGCTTTGTTCTACTTCAGGTACTACTTTAAACTACATGAAGCCAAAACAAAGGCAAATATAGATTGTGACCTGCAGGGTTTTACAGTTCTAAAGAGAGTGTTGTGTTCTTTAATATTATTACAGAGATCCTTGTGATAACAATTTATAATATTATCATTTAAGAAGGCAGGATGAACACGAACCTGATAATGCATGGTTTCGTTATTCAATTTATGCACTAAGAGATACATAAAGATAAACTAAATCGTTTAAAATTTTTATTAAGAATTTGAAGCTTAAAATATGATTAATAAAAGCTATACTGTTAGACTACCGGTTTAAAAAAAATTAACCATCACCTTGTATTAGCAATTACCGATATTTTTGTTGCAAAACGTTATAAACTAAAACACTTTTTTTTGTATTCGATGGTGGAAATTGAGTAAGCATTGAGTATATCTTTAGACTCAAAAAAGCTCCTTAAATAAAGGCGGAATAAACTATCAGGCACTGTCAGTGTGACAAAAAGCGTGGATATATCAGTGATCCACAAAGTTTTCTACGGTGCACAAGAAAACTGAATTACAGAAAATAATTAATGAAAACAATTTCGTTAACGGCCAAGTTCATCTGTTAGCAACTTCACAGGAAACGATCGACAAGTAATTTACTAAAAGCGATCCAAGACAGGCTTATGAAAAGATCAAGCATGTGATTTCTCAAAATCGGGCCACTTTACATTRAATATTTTATATTAACAAGAAATTGAAAAATATTTATTTTCCTGAAGGTATGCTTTTTGTTTTAATTTTTATTAGAATAGAATTGTATGTTGCGTTGGTTTTTAGATTAGCAGGTAATTTCATTACTTATTGATGGGTCGTTGTGAGTCCATCATTAAAATTCACTCAGTCTTTGAACATTAAAACACTGATTTTACACCGTATACTTAACCTTTATCTTTCTTAAAGCCATCTCAGAGGCAAGGAATTATTTTTTATGATCATTGAGGAAATTCCTAAGCTGACAACTTGAGAAAATTGCTTCATATTTATCGCTATTAAAGCAAGTTGTTTAACATAATTAGCTTATTAAATGTATGAACAACCTCTTAATGCTTGTGTGAATCCGTGTCGAGTCTTATCCCTGTCATTAAAATTATAAAAACAAAAATTTCACTTACCATTCCTGTTCATCTGGACCTCGATACATTTCTTGAGCCTACAAGCCTGGCATTGATTTCTTCGGGCAACATCAATAGGACACGCCCCGTGCTCCTTGCATTGATAGACAAGATTGCGTCGAACACTACGTTTAAAGAACCCACGACAGCCATCACAGGTCGTAACACCGTAGTGTTTACCCGAAGCTCTATCTCCACAGACTTTACAAAGTACAGTCTGCTTGGGATCTGAAATCATGAACCACAAACAATTTATCACTCAGTATTATTGCGAAAAGTTGACAAGAAAGTTTCAATTTTTTGTTGTTTTTGTTTTTAATATTCGCCCCCTTATTTTGATTACGACTCTGCATCGGGCTCTATTTATACTTTTGCAGTTATTTCTTTTTATTTCTTCATTTTTCGGCCCAACCCAACGAATCTAAAGACTTGCACAATTCTTTGTTCCTACTCTTAAAATTTAACCAAATTTAAATGGAGATCAGTTTATATGGTTATCTACTCACGGCCTGAGGTTCACCTTGGGAATACTAGTACTTCATATGAAGAGCATAAAAAATCTCCTGCATAAACTTTCTTGAAACTGATTTTCAATTATTGGGGGGAAAAATCCTCAACAGCTGGAGTTTGGTAATAAAATTGATAAGTGTGCTGAGTTATAGATTGTCAAATTATCTACCGTGTGCATTCTGGTCTTCAAACCTAGATCAAATCACGATTTGTTTGCAGAACATGAAGATCTACGGAGTACATACCATTTTTGTTTTTCTGCAGATGTCGTGTCTCTGTATCCGCCATTTCCTTCTTCAGGGCTCTGGATTATTTTCTCCTATTTTATGTTTTTTTCTTCCTTTAAAGCAAGGGAGAGTCTGCAGATCGTGCAGATCTATATATCTCGAGTGCTTTCTTATCGAGGGTTTGTGTTGTTTGGTGCGATTGTCAGCGACTAAAAAAACTCTAAATACATGCTACTCTCGTAACAGGTGAATAAAAATCCAAGGCCACCATTGGTCGGGATTTTAAAAAAACCCAATCTGATTGGTCGTCGTGTGATCTTGTTATGCATGGCTGCATTTCTACATGATCTTGCTTGCAACTCACTCACCGATAACAATAGCCGGTCCCAGCAACAAGAAAATGAGGAGTGTCGCTCTGCAATCATGTTACGTTCATATAATGCTTGTTTTTACAAAGCTAGCCATGTGCTCCAGTTCACCGTATTTACTTACCCGCTCATACAAAACTAAAAAAGGTACCATTCATTGGCTATTCAATGCAGTTCTCTGGTATTGTTGACTGGTTTTTACTTCAGTCCGTTGCTTAGAGATCAATTAGTTATTTGCGCTCAAATCATAGGTTCTAATTGCATTGACCTGCAATTCTAAGATGAGGATTTGATTCTAATCCCCTACATCAAAAAGAACTCCGTAATTTGGAGGCTTATTTCGTCCAGATAAAAACACACCCAGTAAAACACTCTTTAAAATTGTTGTTTTTTTAGTTGAAGGGAGTAATATATATGTGTATATATCTCTCTTAGAAAACTTCAGTATAGATAAATGCATGTTGCACGTGTAAAGGAATATTGTACTGGCGTCTATGACAGCTTTAAAGCTTCATCACTCGAACAAACTATCATTGAAAATSTTTAAACTTTGTTGCTTAGTCGTAAATTGAAATAATTGATAAGCGAATAAAAAGAAATTTAAAACTGAACACCGTGAAAAAAAAAAAAAAAAATTCGTAGCTGCAATGAATGACGTTTCGTACCGCGTTTTTGAGGACCCGATATATTTATTTAGTATGCCCTCGTAAACCAAGCCGTATTTTTAAGTCCCTCGTCTATTTACGTATACTCAGACGATTGACTAACGTTCGAATCGTCAGTGTTTCAATTTTCATATCATTAATTTGTGGCTTGTATTCAATACACCAACGCACGCAGTCCCACTAAACATTATCCACTATAGTCATTATCTGAAAGTCTACAAATCACTGTAATTTTGTTTTTAAGAGATACATTTGCCTATTTAACGTAACTACACAKTGATCCCCCCGTTGACGTATTGATTTATTCGAAAAAAGACACTTGCTCAGCTGCAAAGCCTATGTCAGAAATTTTAAACTGACTATCAAATTATGAGGTTTTATGAGGGTTTTTTATTGTGAATAAAAGCGCTTGATTCTAAGGTGACGCCGGAAGCAAGTTGTCAACTTTATTGGATTTTATTTAACCTTTCACAATCACGGTTTTCAAACTGGATTCAATAAAAACGAAAAAGACTGCCGGAACTTCTCGCTTCTGCTTTATCATAAAGTAAATGAACAAATTCTTCAGTCTCGTGATCTCGCGCAATTGCTTAGCTAATCCGTAGGATATTTTGTAAGCACATTGGATTTGTAGCCCTTAGGCAAATAAGTATGACTGCTATGAGGTAATCAGGCGAGTTCGTTTATTTGTTCTGACATCATGGTTGGCTTTATGACGACTGTTACGCCAATAAGTCAAGCCTCAAAAGGCATCCGCGTCGTTCAGTTCGGTGTGCGAGCGAAGTCATCTTTGTCTTTTAGCACCGATTTCAATAATAGAGAAGGACTTAAAAACCAAAGGAAAAGTGAGGGAATCTTCAAATGAATATAATCAGTTGATGCATTATCTACATTTGTCCGAGCTTTTGAATGGCTTCGTCAGTTTTTGACAAAACTTGAGCTGAAAACATTAACTAGTGAAAAGCTACTTTGAGACTTAGTGACAAAGTGAGCTTTTTTCCTTTATCTACCTTGTAAAGATTTGGTTATTATGATCCTACAAAGTAATAATATAACGAACATTAGACCACCTGCAAGACAGCGCCGTCAGTGGCGGAGTATAGGTCTATTTTTGACGGGTATAACTTGAGGTTTGCCTTTTATCGGTCTGAAACTAAACACCCATCCTTTGTTTATATTCTATAGATTTGTCTGGTAAGGCAGGTCTATAGTTGTTGTGCATTCAATGAATTGCCTAAGTAATTCTAATAATTCTTATAGATATAGTATYCTATTAGGTCGGTTCAGCCAAGAATTTCTAGCTGCCACCCGGAGAACCAGTATTTAAATGGCAATATATATTCTACAACTAGGCTTATCAAAGAATGTCTTTCATTTAAAACTGGATCGGAACAAAGGCGTTTTTCATGCCAGTTGCTGCGAGCTGTGCATTTTCACAAGTACGTTGTGTATGTGTGTAGCCTTGTGCGTGCCCTTTTTACCACCACAATGAAGACTTATTTATTTAAAACTACATAAGAAAGATTACGACAAGAAAAAAAAAAACAACAACAACTTTGGCTAGTGTAAGGCGTAATCATTTCAAGGCTGAAAGCCAATAATATCCGTTCTGATGGTCTCTATTGGCAACCTTTTCAACAAAAGCAAAAACAAAACCAAAAAGAAAGAAGAAAAAGAGAAAAAAGAAAAAGAAAAAGAAAGAAAAGGCGATAAGAAAAGACTTTGAGCGATAATGTTCTTTGTCAAAGATAAAATTTATCGTGTGCCTAGAAACACTTTAGAGATAAAAGGGTTTAACAATGAAAAAAAAAGTACAGCTCTAGTTTCAAGATTTCAAACTTGACCACTGGTCAAACTGGATAATAGAATGGCTGGCTTTTGTGTTTTTAGTTTTCAGGATATATGATCAAGAGGTGTCGTATGCCAGTGAATTTAAACCCGACAGTGGTTGCCTAGGATGCAAATCAAAAATGAGTTGATACATTATACTCGTTTTTGTTCAATGAAAAATATTGAAGTTAGACTTTCTTTGGGCTCCCCCAAACTTGACCTATTTGCAAGTCAACTGTTATCTGCTAGCGTGGCAAACCCGTGGCAAATTAGGTTTTATATTTAACTGATCCAAGCGAACAATCTCTGTCGCCAGGTGTACAAGAAATATTATACATGCAGTTTAGACAAATACATAGAGTAAGGTTTCTACTCTGGTCTATTATTCAGCTCGTTTTCAAAGTGCCTTGGCGAAAATCTTTAAGTAACTAAAAAAGCAATACATTTCCGGTTGCTTTAGTTGTATTAGAGTAAGTTCAGGATTTGATTGAAGGGGGTGGCTTGACGGAGAACGTGTGGATCATTTAACGTGATGTCATGTGATGTTAATTCTACAAGTCTAGCATCTACAAGTCTAGCATGTAGAGATTCTACGGAAACCATAAAGTAGGAAAAAATAACAGAATTTTAACAAAAACCTCACCATGCATGTAAAACAATTGCTTTGTTACTGCCCAACAACTTGTTTGCAGTAAAACGCTAATTTATTATTGATTTTTGCCTCGAAGATTAGTAAAGCAAGTTCCATATGCTGATCATCATGCTTTATGCCCCCATCAGGTATTTCTAAAAAGAAAGCGTTAATTTCAATGGGTTCGGGAAAAGAAAAAGGAACACACTGAAAAAATGACTGAGTTTGTTACGTCTCTTCTTCATTTCGAGGGTTTTACTCCAGGTTCGAGTTCGGTTTTTCTCCCTCTGCAAAACCCACCACGCATAATTCTAATCCGATCTGTGAGTTAGCCGTGCCCAGACTTTAATCAGCCCAAAGTTGGTCCAAAGTCGGATAAAAGGGTGTTTTGCTATCTCAGATTTGGTCGCCTTCTGCATGGCTTTTCTTAGAGTAATTTCAATTGTCACTAATTAATTTCCATTAACCAATTAATCCAAATAAATAACTTGTATGGTATATATTTCATGACAAAGCAGAGAGTGAAAGTTCTATAACTATGCCTCGCGTGCATGCTTCGCTCCACTATCCAAGACAGTGGTTAACCTCAGTGAAAGCTTAACTCCTTCATTAAACCACTAGCCTGCGCAAAGTATTAATAATTTTGTAGGTCATATATTTGAATTTGAACTGAACATGTAATGACAGTGATATGTAAACAATTTGGTGTGTTAAATAAGAAGAACCTTATAACTGATGTCCAATGTATCTGAATGCTGTTGTTTTGTCACTAAAGTTTCTCAAGTCTTCGTTTTTTAAAAAATAGTCTTATTATTTGAATAAAAATGACCATGTTACTATCTAATACGTATTGAGATACAAGCACACCACTTCTCTCCTACTGGGACGACCATGCACCAAGAGAATATGAACTAAGAGAAGGAATCCTACTATATAGCCTTGTAAACATCATGTGCACAGTTTGATGCTATTTTTAGCTTGGAGATATTTTGAGCGAAGAACCTGATTGGTTGATTTCTTGATGGTAGGCGTCTTGTAGTAAACAAAGCCTGTGTTTTTGTCGTGCTTGGGCGTAGCGAAATATGGCGCTTTTCGTGTCCTAAAACGAGGCATTAAAGGGAAGCATGATTATAGCGCGGGCATGGTAACGAGTTAAAAATAGCATCAATGATTCTAAAAATAGCATCAAAGTGTGCACATGATGGGGCACGGGGATTCCTTCCCTTAGTTCATTTTCTCTTGCATACACCTATTCGATTCCTATTCGGATACAGGCACCCCACTTCTCTACTAGATGACTACACTCCTATTTGATTCCTATTGATCTTCGTTTGCACGTTACGTCATCGCGGTTACGTTGGTGCCATTTAACAAAAGATTTCTTATTAGCATCCATTGTTAAGTAACGGTACCACAATGGCCGCCATGCTTTTGTCTTTTAACTCTCTTGGGAATGCTTGCAACCCATCAATTCGGGTACAAGCACCCCAGTTCTTAGACTTGCCCCAAGTCGACCTCTCTTGTTTTCTCGGCGTTTTTTTTAATTCGAGCGCAGCGAGCGAGCGACGAAGTCGCGAGAGGTCGACTTGTCGAACTTGCAGGATATTCAATTGCGTTTCCCGCCATTTCCGAATTTGATACGGGAGTGTCGGCTTTCGGGGGGGAAGCTAAAGAATTGTGGTTTTCATTTATTTGTTT